AATAAAATAATTATTCCACTCGCACTTGTTGGATATGAGATGATTATAGCCAACTTGGCGCTATGCGCCTCATTGGCTATCTATCATCACATATCCAATGCGTGCTCATGGAATAATTGTTAAATATAAACAAAAACATTTGTAAGTTCAATAATTATCATTAATAATGATTATTATATATATGAAAAAATTTATAACTTATGCCTGCTCAAATATTAAACACATTATGATAGTAATATTTAGTTTCTCCTTTCTTTAATAACTCTGTCCTTATTTCTTGTTACAATAGCATATTAGACCGAAATATTTCTCTTTAACTCTTCAACTCCCAGTTGAGAACACAATGAGAACAGAGAAGCTCATCAGCTACAGGGTGTTACCTTGATGAACTATGAAATTCTCCTTTCTAATTTACAAGGAAATGTATGATAACCAGTTAGGAGAATAATTAATTGCATCTTGGGAATTAAATGTTTAAACTACATAAAACTACATTATAAAAAAATTAGTTAGTGTAATGATAATTTTGGAAGTAGCTAAACAGTCATAAATTTGATTTAAAGTCAGTCTCGATCTAGAGATAAACTTTTCATGCAAAGTCTTTCAAATACTTCAAAGGTATGATTCATGTATTGAAAAAAACTATTGTGCATACTTGGCAAATACTTGTACAATGCCAAAGCAATTTTATTCATTAGGATAAAAAATGTAGAGAAAAATCTTTAAAATAAAAATATAACAAGGTTATAAACCCCTTGGGGTTGACTCATACAATCAATTGTGAATCTTTTGAGACTTTTTTAACTACAGTCAAGTTTGCAAAATCACATTATTCTCTTTTACAAGCTTTTCATTTAATGGAAAATTTCAAATAATAAAATTCACCATGAAAAACATTGTTTATGATTGAGATGATTTCTGTTACACAAAAGCATTTGCATGCATAATCTAGTACAAATTTGACTGCACTGTGTAGAAGGTTTCTTCAGTTTGACAAATTATTCTCACCATGTGGAAATCCAGCTTTTCTTTCAAGACAGTGTGATTTAATGAACAGTGGTTGTAGTGTAAATAATGGCTATTTTTTAAGATTTAACACTATTTTGTGAGTGACTGTACTGTCATTACTTGTACACTGTAACAAATTATTTATCATGACACATACTTGGGTGAGAATGGAAAAATTCAAAATTGTATATTATTAGTTTATTTAAGGGGAATGTTTGGCCTTGGGTCAGAAGGAAAGAATTTTGACCTTCCATCTTCTAATTTAGAGACTGATGGATACATGATCTTCTGTTCAATGAGATTTAGCAATTGTTACAGTGTCAACTTTGTAAACTTCTCCTCCACTCCATTCACATTATTTAAATAAAGACTGTGAAAAAGTCTGAATCAGCAGGTGTAAGATTAAGGAAGCCTTAGTCTTGCTTTTAAGGAAGAACTGACTGAGATAAAATTATTTACAATAAATAAACAAGATCTTCCTGATAATTAAGTCTTTCTAAGCACACATTCAGTACTGTATTTTTTTTTTCTCCAAAGTCAAAAAGAAAAAAAAATCAAGTCTGGTATCAAAATATGAAAAATAATTTTTGCTCTATCAGTGCTTTGGCGTCTTTCAATTGTAATATGATTAACGTAACCGATCAAGGTGATTGTGAAGTCCAATCAGGTCTCGCGAACAGGAATTTGTCATTAATCCAATGCAGCATCATTTTAATTCCATCTGACATTTTGATTTTAAGTGTTTTACTGGCGAAAAAGTTTTACCACAATAAAATGCTGGAAAAGGGCATTACGTACAAATAGATACATTATTCACCACAACGAAATGGAACGTTTTTTCAGCGAAGAAAAACAAATTACGCTTAGTATAAACATCAATTGAATGCAAATCACGGCAGACAAAGCGTTAAATTTTAATGCAAAATATATATTACATTTTCTTCCCTTTCAACACACAAAGAAAAATCATTTTTCCTGATCCCTAATGATATTTTTAGTCTGGTATAAATTACTCACCCGATACGTTCTTCTTCTGCTTGGCGAATTCTTTCTGCGCGTTCCAGAACATTTCTGATGATCTCTTGTTCGCTTTCCGTGATATCCGATTTTCTACCTGTTTTTCTCGCGGGTGCACTTGAGTGAAAAGACCATCCTGAATTCAACCTACAGAAAAAAAGGAAAATATTCGGTCGATTTACTGCATGATAGTCTGTTAATCTGAGAGATTGTAAACTGATATCGAAAGCATGCAGTCAACATAAGCTTATTTAACTATATTGTAGTGAAGGTTGGGATTAAGATCGCGCCTAATCGGAGAGCTGCAATGACAGATCGAGAGAGAGCGAGAGAGAGAGAGAGAGAGAGAGACAGAGACAATATAATAACTAACAACAAATTTTCCAAAGACTTGGGCCATCTGGTTCGAGTTTTCTTGAAAAATGTTTTCAAGACTTTCTTTGGGCGGAAACACATCGTAATTGCATGGCAGTGGCGCGGCGAGCGACAAAAGCTCAAGGTAAATGGCTGGCGACCACTGACAGCATCTCCAAACCAAAGCAGCAGTACGCACAGCAGAATCAAGGCAAATGACTGAAAAAAAAACAGGTGTTTGTGGCGAAACAAGTTTGAATTATTAAGGAACCGGAAACACAGAGATGATTCGCTGCTCTGTTATGTTCCCTGAGCGTGAGTTGATAAACAAGTACCACGTATGCAGATTTCTCCAAAGGGCTAATGAAGTTCCGTCACGGTTTAGAGAACTGTTTTTGGGCATGGTTATAAACAAAATTTACTCACTTTGCCCTTAAGGATAATTGTCGATCGTTCGGGCAGACCCATCGTTGATCATCCTCACTGGCCAATTCTCCCATTTTATGCCATACAAGCGAAGGATAAGCTAAGCGAATGTAGTGTTACGCGGGAAATCGCGTCAGTTGTCCATCGTTCTTGAATGACTGCAGTCAAATGAGCAACACACTTCTTTCGTAAATCACCGCGCAAATTTCCTTAGTACAAAGCGAACCACAACGAAACTTGACCCGTTCAATAGAAATGCTTCCAACCATCAAATAAGTGGAAAATTCACACTCGCTTCTCAAGTCGAAACCAAAACAAAATTTTGTACAGTTCGGAAGTGTTTTCCATGACTCCCTGTACCACGTGATAAAACATCTGTGAATATTTATTATGAGAATAATTTCATTAATGATTTATGGAAATTCCAGACATGAATTCAAAATGGCTGCATTGTGTTTATCAAAAGCATAATGCAAAACTTAGATTAATATGTTTTCCCTGGGCTGGCGGTGGGGCAGCGTTCTGTGCCAACTGGGGTAAAAAGTTTACAAGCGAGATAGAAGGTTTGATTCATAAATATTCGAGAATGCTATTTGTCAAACAGAGCGATATGGAGTCTTGGATAAAATGATAATTAATATCCGATTTAAAGGGTTGGTTAGGGATCGATCATAATATAGTTTTTCAAGTAATTAAGAGTTGTAGAAAATGAAATAGTGATGAAAGTATATGGCCGATGGCTGATGATTTCCGAGGAGTTTTTAGTCGAATTAACAACCTCCAAAGCCTTCTGAAAGAGCCGTCGTTTTCGGTTACCTTGATTATTCTCACACTTAATATTAGATTGATTGGTTGTAAAATTTGTAATATTTTTAAAAGGTTATCATAGATATAATTATTAAGGCCTCTCCCACTCCGCAGGTTTACGCCCTGCATGATCAAATTCTCCCTACTGTTCTCTATACATAGTGACATAGAATGATTCATCCAACAATCAAAGCTTGTTATAGCTTTGTGATCATTTCCTCTATTCTCATGATGTCAATGAATGATTCAAAAGTATTACTCTAAGAAGAATTTAGATGTTACATCAGGTCACACTTACAGTATTAAGGGTTAACCAATCATCTTGATCTAGAATACATCATGTTATACCATTGTCTTCTGCATTCATGGAGTGTTCTTTTTTTTTTTTTTACTTAATATCCACAGTGCATGGAGTTTGTTTACCTGTTAGAGAGAGTAGGTTCAAGGAACCCTTCATTGTTGATGACTGGGAATCATTTTTAAATGATTTTTGTGCGATGTTGTGGATCTTTTAAAGGGGAAGCTGTTTGCATTTTGGGGTCACAGGTTTGTGAAAGACTAAACTTGTTATGAACCTTTGCATTTTTAGAATTTTTGTTTAGAGGCAGCAAGATGTGAATTGACCCCTTGTCTGATAACCTGTCAAATTTTTTGCAGTCTGGGAACCAGATTGTGCTTTGAAACAGCAAGGTACCTGAAACTGAACTACAACATGCAGCCAGTGCACTTGCTTATATCATCAGCAACTGCACCCCAAGTCAGTGAAAAAAGGTTTTGAAGCTCATAAGTAATAGAATTGTAATTTTTGAGTGTTGTGCAGGTTCATTTTAACCCCAGGAGTTCCAGTTCTTCAGTGAAAAGCAGTACTTGCAAAATGTTTCCCAGGTTAAAATAATAAGAGTTTCTTGATTGCCATATATAGTGGCCTGATTGGAGATTTAATTTGACCTTCGAAACTTTTTGTGTTACACCTTGTCACTTTTACTTTCTTCAGTCCCTAACCCCCCAAGGAGTAGGAATGAAAAAAGAATGAGTGTTTCTCAGGACAACTATTGTTTGGCTAAATATGAAGTTTTAGTAGAATGAGGATATCTGGCAATTAATATACAGTGAAAGAGGGAAAAGAAACTGGTTTGAATTATCAGAGTGTCCTAAGGAACAGGGTAAAATACTGTGTTTGATTAGAGATGTGAAGTCCATTTTGTTTTAAAATATCAAGAATTTTGAAAAAACAGAGTGTGCATAAAGCAGTACAGACAACTGGGACCTTAAATGCATTGCAAGGAAGGGAGAGCTTGTTCCCTTTTTCCTGAAAAAAAAAAATTAGAATTTGTCCCTTGTCCCAAGATGGCAAGTTCCCTGAAATTACCCACTATGCTCTCTTGATTCTTAAAACTGGGCAAGACTCTCTAAAAGTTTCATGTCTTGGAACCATCCATTCCTTGGTGAAAACAGAAACGAAGATTTCCATGTTCCTTGAACACACCACAGTCCCCCTTTTCCCTAAAATTTATTTTAACGATATTTTTTCCCCTGCCAAAAAAATTGTGCTCATGTTCTCCTGCTTCCTAATATCCCTGAGAGGCTCCCACTGACTGAAATATAAGTTCTATGGCAGTAAACAATCCTGGACGTCTTCTAAGGTCCTACCTCCTTCCCTTTTTAAGTAAATATGGTTCAATGTGCCTGGCAGATTCGGTAGATTGTTGATTTAAAGATCAAATAATGAAGTTTACAAGTCTTTCTTTTGAACCAGTTTTTCTCACGTTTCACCTTCAGGTAGCAAAAGTAGCACTTGATGTTTCAACACTAAGTGATGATGATTTGATTAAAAAAATCAGCAGCTGGGGAGGAACACCAAAAGCATTGACAGAGAACAGAGACATGATGAGGATAGCTGCATGTGTGTTTAGAGCCGATCTCACACTCCAGCAGAACTACAGGTGAGAAGGAACTGTGGGACCTTACACACCCCTTAATTACCCCCCCCCCCCCTCCCACACCACGTTTCAGCTCTGGCGTTATCCCTCGGTCTCGCAATCTTTTCAAATCGTGCCATTAGAATCGCGCTTGGCGATATTATGAGTGACAAGGCTTTTTTTCCATTTCAACAGCTCCAGCCTGCGTTTAAGAAGCAGACTTAAAATATTCTTTTCTTGGTCCCCCACAATTCAAAGTATGTCGAAGCGCTCTGCTACCTCTGCTTGTATGCTTCGCTTTGATATTCTAGGAGCTATTTGAATTCAGTGTAAAAGAAGCAAAACACCGTCTTTCAACCTTTTTCTGGCCACGAGGCAGTTTTTGTTAGTCTAGTATGAGGTGTTATCTCGGTATTTTTTAAATAGCTTTTTTTAAAAAGTAGTTTTCGGGCACCCGATGAAAAAAAGGCAGCGAGCGGAAAACGAGCAAGAACAGGTAGCAACACAGACGATGAAAGACCTCAACAATAATGTCTTCAATGTCGATCTTTTAGAATGTTTCTTAATTCGAACATTATCACTTCTAGATTTGAAGAAAGTGCTACTAATGTCGCCATTGATTGTCCTCTAACTTGCTTTGATGGATCAGGTGATCTTCACGATCAAGATGGTAAGTGGGTGTTGATATTTCCACTAGTGATTCCCTACCCCTAGTTAGTGCGTGATGGTTAATTTTTTGGACGACAGGCCGTCGTTTCGTTAACTTATACATGCGTTATTGGCCAAGCGTGAGGTGAAGATGGCCGGATATTAGCAGAGTTCTCTTTTTGCGTTTTTATGAACAGAGATGAAGTCGAGGTCCAAAAAAAAGCAAAATATGAACGAGGCTTATATCCAACCATCTTTATCGAATGAGCTTAGTTAATAAAGGATTCATAGCTAGAAGATTTCGATTTACTTGTATATTTCAAGAGACGTCAGAGAAAGCCAACTGTGTTTGTAGCACAATAAACCTACAAGAGTCGTTTATGTTCTCTTTATTTTGACTGTCTTTTACCGCTTTTTGCAACTCCATCGCCGACACTGTCCAAAAACTTACGAACTTTTGTGTAAGTTCGCTCCAAGTAATTTTCTTTCTTGTGTTGGCAAAAGCGATCTATCCTGAGTAGGCTAGATAGGCCCATCTTGTTCGCCAATGCAGCGTAGCTTTAATTCTGATGGTTGTCGTTTTATTTATTTATTTTTTTTGTAAGTGACTCGGACGAAGGTCCGTTTTTCCTCTGAAACGAGTGAGAATGCAAAAGGAGGAACTGTACAGTTCTACAAAGGATCTCGGGACCGCAAGTGAACCCAGGGCAGCAAATGATCTTGTTAAAGGAATGTGGAATGGCAAAGGTATCAATCTAGAATTTTCTGGAGTGGTTTCCTCGACCTGAGTATTAAGGGGGTTGACGAAAGGGGTTCCCAGGGTGCATGTGAGCCCTCATCACCAGTCACGTCTCAAAATCCGGTTCACAGCCGTGGGCGACTTATATAGGAAGGAAATTAAGGTTTTCTCTCCTTTACGACAGGCTGGGCGGAACTCACATCAGGGTCTTTCAAAAGCCACGTTCTAGCTTGAGGACACTTTTACTTCATGGAAGGGGGCAATGAATCATCCCTCACAAACCCTATTTCAAACGCCTTGCGACTACATTACACTTCAAGTCCTTGATTGAATTGTGTGCTGATCCTGGATTTAGCCGGATTTGACCAGACTGATAAGGCTGAGTACAATGAACAAAACACGGGCCAGTATTTTCGTTATCTTGTAGAGGAAGTCCTTAAAAATGTGAGCTCTGAAATTTTGGAAACACATCAAACAATGTCCTTACAATGAAGTGGACAGCTGAACTGAGACGCATCAAGGAGAACTTAGTAAGACTGAAAAAGGTAGAACATCATAGAATAGAATTTAATCCACGCTTTGTGCAACGAGTTACGATTAGTTTTCTCACGTTTGTGAACATCGGCATTGTGAGTTGTATTTAGAAAGAAAAATAGAGCTCCTAGTCGGTTGAGTTGCCGAGCTTAACGGCGAGTTCAAGTCACATATGTTTTTCAGATATTTTTGAACAACGGTACCGTGTGAAGAAATCGACATGTACATCAATGGAAATGGAGTAATGGTCGGAAGTGAAAAACAGAATTTTTGTTTTCCCCGAGCTTGTTTGGTTTTACTCAACTATGCTCATTTCCTAATGAGAGAAGAGTTGAAAGAATTTTCGCATGATAATAAAATATCGATTGTCATCGATGATTGCGCTCCCAATTTTCTTCCACATTTTCAAGAACGTCATCGAATTCGCTCGTAATGTAGTAGCGTAGTCGAGCGTAGTCTCGTTTTGTCCCTCAAACTACCTTTGCACCCGAGAACCTCGCGCACGGATGACCCAAGGTCGTCTACTTTGCATTACAAAGACTTTTCGTGTTTACGTATTGCCATGGACGCCTTGAGCTGCGACGAGTGGTGGACATATCAAGCATACAATAATGCCAACACAGAGTAAGAAATCAGTGTCTATAACACCCACAGACAGACCTGCCAAACCAAAAAAGAAGAATAAGAAAGAATCTAGTAGAAACAGCAGGAATTCCTTCAGTAAAACCACCACATCGGGAGTTGACAACTCCAGCGAAGGTTTGTTATTTCAATGCTATTTGTTTATTCCTTTACTGAAAAGAAACATCGGGGTGAATATTCTCATTTGAAAGAGATTCACACTTACCAGATGCTAAATTTAAAGATTCTTTACAAAGAAAGAAAAAAACGCTGTGATGAAACGTAAAGATCTTTATAAACGTAATAGGATTAAGATTGATTTTAAGTGTTCTGTGAAGGAACCCATCGAAAGTCAAGAACGAAGTCACGCTCAGATACAAGTGACGTTACAGAAGGGAAAGTTGCAAGCGATATAAGTTCAAAATCGTTTTCTTCGAGGACAGAAAACACGTCTTCTAGTAACTGGCGGACAAGCAGTTCTGATGGAAGAAGTACAAGCAGTTGTGGCGAAAACGTCGGGTCAACAACTGGCGTAAATTCTGGTTTGGACACGAGGGACAGCGAAGTGAACAATGTAACTAAACGTTCAGAGTTAACTCGAGTGAACGAGAGTTTGAGATGGGATTTGACAGATTGCGACGACCCTGATGAAGAAGAGGAGAGATTAAGAATTTATAAATTACACAGAAGGAAGAGATACTTGAATTTCTTTCATAAACGAAGTGGCGGTGAAGGACAAAGTAGTCAGTTTTATGGGTAGCGAATTCGATAGACAATGAACTCAAAGCTTGTGTTTGTAATCGAAAATCATTTAAAGTACCAACTACGTACAAACTTCTCTCAAAGAGAATTCAATATTGCCTGATTAATAAGTCAAAACTTGTCACTGAGTTTTCAACATTTTAAGAAAAAGATGACCTTATTTATGGACAAAGTTCGAAAAAACAATTAGCGAGAATCAACTAGGCTTTTAATCCCAAATCACAAAGGTGACGGTTCACACTCCAACTTAAAAACTATTTCAGGGGTACATTTGTAACTACTTCGTACATGATTTCAACAAAACAGACCAACTTTTGTTGGCAAATAACTTTTACTTTAAATCGAAAGTTTGCCCACGTTTTAGAGGATTACAAATGGAGCTCCAAAGGAGGAAAATTGGCATATTTGTTTAACTAAACTTTTTATTCCCAAGGGCTAGTCCGTATGTGTGCAACAATTTCATGTCCATAACAGTTGTAAGTATGGTAGCGTCTGGAGAAATATTGAGTGAATTAATAATAATTATTAAGTGCAGTGCGATGTTAAAAGTTTCAAGGAACAAACAAACTACCATTCGTCTTTGATTGAAAGATGAGTTGAATAACAAACAACAAAAGTGGCATTGTGCTTCGTGTCAAACTAATATTTGCCATGGTAAGCCATTGAGAAGGTAGCTTGTATATCCTACACAAACCTATTGTCTGCAGTTGCCGCGTTTGTTTCAAACCCTCATTAGAACCGTCAGAACAGTCTGTACGTCTCGTGATATCCAGCCTACATATTTCTGTGTAATCACATTTTTGTTTGTTATTATTCAGTTTTTATTTTTCTTTAAAAATTTTGATGCTAAATTTTTTTCAACTTAATCATCTGTACATGATCCGGGTGTTAGCCCTCACCAATTTTTCTGAACCATCTTCGATTCCTTGTTTAGTTCTGTTTACGGTGGTTTTCAAAATTTTCAACTGATGAAAGACTCTTAAATAAATGAGAAGCAGAGAAAAAATGTGCAGCACGTTATGCGGGCCAATCAGACCGTAGTTGCCGTTTTCTTTAACCAATCAAACGGACTTAGGCTTTACCTCGCGAGTAGTTATTATTTTGTTATTATTTTTTTGGCTTTCAAGTATAAAATAACTTCAGCGCAAGTGATTTAACAAGCCAACACGATTCTTATAATGATCACGGATGCACAAGAGAAGCGTAAGACTATAGGTTAAAAGCTTCTGTGGACAAAAATGGTCGCAGCGTTTGGAAACGGAGAGAACTAGCATGCGGCCTAAAGGAATTTTGAGTCTAAATTTGTATAAGATTTCTTCCTGCAGAGAAGAGTAAAGATGGGAAAGAGGAATCGAAGGAGATTCAAATATCTCTGGAAGACTCAGTTAGATGAAGACCAAAGTACTACTTTCATTTTACAGTCGATTTACTCCTTACCAAACAATTTAACATATATACAATAAAATATATATACAAAGATCGGCTCTAAATACAGTGGAACCTCGATTCATTGAAGTGGCAAGGGGCTGGGGAAATTGGTTCGTTATAACGAGGGTTCGTTATATCAAACACCGAGATTTAGCGAATTTGCGGAAAAACAACCAAAATGTTCGTTATATCGAAGTATGGTTAAGAATTGTTGTTATTATTTGTGTGTGTGTGTGTGTGTGTGTGTGTGTGTGTGTGTGTGTGTGTGTGTGTGTGTGTGTGTGTGTGGTGGGACCGTTGTGCTTGAAGTCTATATATGATGTGGCTACAGTACACTGGTACATAGCTGCAGCACCGGAAACTAAACGGGTCAGCTAAATTTTGACAATTACAATTGGGCTTGTCAAACGTCATAATGAAAAAGTTAATGAATAGCACGACCAAACAGAAGCTTTAAACAAAAGTAAACCACTTTACTACTAAAAAATTGCGCATCAAGACGCCCAATCAAAAATTTTTCTAATGAAAATTGCCTCATATTTTGTCTTTCTTTAAAATGCGCCATTCATTCAAGAAAAAGAGCGCGAAAATTCCCTCTTTTTTTNTGGTATTTGTATGTACACCCTGGGTCCGTCACATGTGTACAAGAAAAAAACCTACCTATATAGCATGAACAAGAAAACATCTACAAAGACATACATTTGCGAGATATTATTCTACCCGAAAGTGCTGAATAAAAAGCACATTTCCGTTGTAGTCCACTACCCCGCGAGGAACAACGCTAAACCGCATACTTATTACAAAGATGTCCTATGTTTTGTGCCAAGGTGTTTGGACCACCATCAGACGGAAAAGATTGTGACCGAACCAAGACTTGAGGAAATCTATAAAACAGTGCTGTATCGTGAGCCTCCGAAGCGTGTACGAGAATATTCATCTTCTTTGCATATGGTACCATTAACGTTCGACACTGTTCGATAAATGCCGCATTTTGTAGCTGATTTCTTCCGTCGAAAAAACTGGATGTTAAATTATTCGTTTTTTTACAAATGAGAAGCATCTGCGATGTTTTGAAAACTTTTGCCAGCGATTTTATCAGCGGTTTATCGTGTGCCGCCGCATTCATTTTTATAAAGGGTACAAACAGTAGTGGGGAAAACTTCGGCTAAACAACGAGCGCAAATTCTGGTTTAAACACGAGGGACAGCGAAGTGAACAATCCAATCACACGTTCAAAGTTAACTCGAGTGAACGAGAGTTTGAGATGGGATTTGACAGATCGCGACGACCCGGATGAAGGAGAGGAGAGATTAAGAATTTATAAATTACACAGAAGGAAGAGATACATGAACTTCTTTCATAAACGAAGTGGCGGTGAAGGACAAAGTAGCCAGTTTTATGGGTAGAATTCGATAGACAATGAACTCAAAGCTTGTGTTTGTAATCAAAAATCATTTAAAGTACCAATTACGTACAAACTTGTCATGGAGTTTTCAACATTTTAAGGAAAAGATGACTTTATTACTTATGAACAAAGTTTGAAGAAACATTACCGAGAATCTACTAGGCTTTTAATCCCCAAGCACAAAAGTTCCGGATCACACTGGAATATCAACTTTTAAACTATTTCAAGGGTACATTTGTAACTATTCCGTAGATGATTTCAACAAAACAGACCAATTTTTGTTCGCAGATAGTTTTTACTTTAAATCGAAAGTTTGCTAACATATCAGAGGATTACAAAAGAAGCTCGAAAGGAGGATCAATTAGTTTAATAGGACTTTTTAATCTCAGGGGCTAGTCCGTGCGTGTGCAACAATTTCATTTCCATAATATTTGTAAATATTGGAAATATGCTAGCGTCTGGAGAAATATTGAGTGATTTAACTGAATAAAAGTTATTAAGTGCAGTGCGATGTTAAAAGTTCAAGGAACAAACTACCATTCGTCTTTGACTGAAAGAGGATTTGAAAAACAAACAACAAAAGTGGCATTGTGCTTCGTGTAAAACTAGTATTTGTCATGGTAAACCATTGAGAAGGTAGCTTGTATATTTTACACAAACCAATTGTCTGCAGTTGCCGCGTTTGTTTCAAACCCTCATTAGAACCGTCAGAACAGTCTGTACGCCTTGTGACATCCAGCCTACATATTTCTGCGTAATCACATTTTTTGATATTTCTTCAGTTTTTCTCTGTATTTGCTACCATACAAGTTTTGTCCTGTGCTCGCCAAGTCACAGTTTGTCAATCTTAAAAATTTTGATGCTAAATATTTTTCAAGTTCATCATCTTTAATCCTTGTGTTAGCCTTTGCCATTCTTTCTGAACCATCTTCAATTCCTTGTTTGGTTCTATTTAGTTATACGTTGGTTTTCAAAACTCTCTAGTAGTGAAAGACTCTTAAGTGAATTATGACAGACAGAGAAAATTGTGCAGCACGTTATGCGGGCCAATCAGACCGGAGTTACTGTTTTCTTTAACTAATCTTTAAACTTTAACTTTAAACGTTAATGATAAATACTCCCAAAAAAAAAAGGTTTTTCAGTACCTATTTAATTACAAA